CGGGGCTAAGTCAGCTTGATGCTAAGATTCTGGCTAACCCTTGCTACATGTAGCAACGGTTAGCCAATGAGCTAAACAGTGAGCTAGGGCCCGGGGTTGCTGGAATACAAGACATCTCCTGGTGGTATTGAGAGGGATGGGACAATGGCCATGCACCGGTAAGTACTTCCTTTCATTTCTTTTCCCTCTTCCCCTGAAATATACTCATTTTTTGCATTGTAGATGGGGGCACATCCAAAAGGCATGCTTGAAATTCTCGGGGATATATCACAAGCTCAAGAACAACAGACCATCGGGATCTGTTTTGTCCGATCTCCTCCCCGACACCAAGAAGGCCTTTTACGAGCAAGAAGGCAAACAGTTCATCTTTGAGCTGGCCTGGATGGTCGTCAAGGATTCATCAAAATTCAATTCATTGGCACAAACACGTGGCGATCAAAGTAAACAGGCCACGACCCCAGCCCCCACTCCTACGCCATCTACACCCGCTGCTCAGTCCGATGCTGCTCTAGGCAACTCTCAACCTGAAGACATTGCCCAAATCAGATCGAACAACTCTTGGAACCGTCCTGCTGGGATTCATGCGACCAAACGTGCAATGAAGCAAGAACACTTCAATGCTAAAAAAATAAAAGTCATGTCTGAACGATCGAGTAACTACCGCGAACGAACCATTGCGATGAAAAAAACAAACAAAATCCGTCAACAAGTTGCTAAAGCCGAAGTAAACCAAGTGAATATGGAGATCATGTCTAGGAAAGAAGATGAACTACCGGACGATGTATCTCGTGAATTTTTGCGTCTTCAAAAGGGGGAAATTCTTGAGGATCTTCGCGAGCAAATCAGGGAGAGACAGAAACTAGCGGCAGCAAAGGAAAAACAAACCGAAGCATCAACAAATGAAGCATTGGCAGCTTCAAGTGAGCGTGATAGCACCTTCGAAGACGATCCATCCAGCAACGCTGAAGACTCTCAGTACATCGGCGATGAAGACGAAGACGACATAGCTGATTTAGATCCTTTACTTGACACCCTCGCTTAGAGTGTTTCGCATTCTCCAGTCTATCTCATTTCTTGCCGTTCTTTTTTTCAAAAAACACAACACAAAGAAAAAAAAATCTATATGCATAATCTATTTCATTGTTCCTATTGTTTATTTCTGAACTAAATACATGAAGAGCAATAGCAAATTCACTCGGTACTCCTGTTCCTGGAGCCTAGTCGTGCCCAATTGAGATCAATCAAGTCGTTGATAAGCCTTCGATGTTGTACTGCTGATTGGAGCTCAACCGTCCGAATCGCTTGCTCCTGTAAGGTGTAAGGCTGACTTTGAGGTGGGACTAGTTTTGTGCAGCGAGGTAACCGAAATGTGTCGGTTGAATCCCTCTCATGATCCTCTACAATCATGTTGTGTAGAATCACACAAGTTCGCATGATTGACACCATATCTTCAGGGCTCCAGAACCGAGCCGGAATGGTGACAATAGCCCATCGTATTTGAAGAACCCCAAACGCCCTCTCAATATCTTTTCGGAATGCTTCTTGAAGCTTTTGAAAGTGTTTTGATGGCTCATCTTGAGACACACCTTTTGATTTGATCAGGGTTGACCAGGATGGATAAATTCCATCGACGAGATAATACGCATGGTTGTATTTAAGACCGAGGATCTGGAATTCCACGTCCCAACTAGTACCAGCAAGTCGTTCCTCAAATAGAGGTGATCGATCCAATATATTAATGTCGTTAAGAGCCCCGGCCGTTCCAAAAAATACATGCCAGATCCACAGTCGTTGATCGGCAACAGCTTCCAGAACCACCGTCGGTTTCTTTTCTTTGCCCTTGTACTGGCCAGCGAATGCACTGGGACAGTTTTTCCATACCCAGTGCATGCAGTCAAGGCTGCCAATGCAGCCTGGAAAGCCACGGGCATCGTTGATGTCAAGCATTCGTGTCAAATCGTCTGCGGTTGGCTTCCGTAGATACTCCTTGGCGTACAGATTCTCGATTGTGTTGCAAAATATCTTGAGGGTTTGCCGAGCAGTGGCTTCCCCAATCCTACAATATTCATCGGTCGCATCCATTGCACATCCGTAGGCTAATTGTCGAAGAGCGCAGGTGATCTTCTGAAAACTTGACAACCCCATCTTGCCTGTACAATCCTGTTTCACCATTTTCAATAAGTTTTTTTTAGATTAATAGCAAAGAAAAAAGGAAAGGAAACATACAGGCTTTTGAACAAAGTAGGGAGAGGCTTCCACCACATCTGCAGCGATCCTCAGGAACAGTTCTTTCCTGAGTCGAAATCGCCTTTCAAAATCACGGTCATTGTATGTTGAACCACTGTTGAAATAGTCTTGCATGAGTCTCTCGTGTCCTTCGGCATGGTTTCTTTCTTTATTTGGGCGTCGTGGACCTCGCGTCTTGGCATGCGGTTCATCGTTGGTGAGTTCTTCCAAAGAGGTAAATCCATCTTCCTCGTCTTCTTCCTCGTCTTCTTCTTCATCCTCCATTTCCGATCCAAACAGGTCCTCGAGGAGCCGTCGTCGTTTGTTCCCGATGCGGTTGGTCATGGTTTGCTTGTGAGCTATCTAGTTTGAGCTGCTGGTAGCCAATACCAGTGCGGCTGAAACACCCCCGCTAAGTTAACTTGATTTAACTTGGACTTTAGCCGCGGGCTGAGTTAGCCCAACCGATAAGGATGCTCTAAGTTCCTTAGCTTCAGCTAAACTAGCCACCGATACGGATGCTCTCAGCTATCATGAGAGCCCTGCATCCAACGCTCCTGCCACACAGAAAAGAAAAACAAAAAACAAAAACCATCGGCCAGCTGCGCAGTCACAGTTCACTCGACACTCTTCATGAAGAATAATAAACATCAAAGGGAAAAATCACACCTCAGCTGACCATCAGGTTTTGTTTTCTGCTTTCAAGATCGGAACACATCTCATGATCAGCCTGCTCCACATCCCACTTGATGATTTTCCGCTCTTTAAGAGCAGCATGAACACAACGACGTCCTACCAGCGCGTCAAATCCATTCTTTGTTTTTTTTTGTCTTGCAGTGTGATCAAGAGCAAGAGAAAGGGCCAGTCTTTGATGGCCGCCGGATTTTCTCTATGTATCTCCATAGCAGACAACCATTGACTGACTGACTTAGGCCGGCAAGAAATTCATACCCAGGCGGCCCCATGGGGAGTCTTTTTTTTTGGAAAATTCATCCCTTTTCAAGAGTACATTATATGCTGATCAGGCTAAAAAAACTCCCCTAAAAAAGGGGGGGGGGGTGGTCTGGCGGTACAAAAATGACAGATGAGGGCCGAAAAACGCGAGAGTCAAGTGGAGTGAAATTGAAGTAAATACATCCACAAGCCTGCCTTTGTCCAGAGTTCCATTAAGAGACATAACATCACCAATCCATACACCCATTTCAAGAGCAACATTTTGCCGTTTTCACATACCTTTTTTCAACCCATTAGGGGGCTTCCTGGGACCCTCAATTGACCTCGCTTATTTTATCCAAGGTGGACGAGCCCTCAAATTTCCCCACTGGACAGTCACAAATCAATGCCCCCCCCCCCTCCTCCTCCTGTTTCCTGTGTTGGACATTGTAATTGGCCATTATTGAGACCATCAACATTCTGATCAGACACACAAAAGAAAGAAGTAGGATACATAATCTAGATACAAAAAAAGCTATGTTTGAGAGCAGTCTGGGAAGGTCGGACAACCATGGGTCTTGGTCTTCTATCTCAGTGATCTATTGATTGATCTATCTATCTCTGGATTTCAATACAAAACCTTGAAAAACTTTCGATCCAAAAAAATCAAAGATCATCAAATCAATCAATCAATCAATCAATTTCAGAGTATCTATTGCTTAAATTCTACCCAAGTATCAGTATGTAATGTCTGGAAAGCGAAGTCTTGACAACACAAATGAATGATCGATATTCTAGAATAAAGACCAACACAGCCATCAATGAATTTGGTTTGATTTAAGGAAGAGAGAAAGAAACCCATAATGGCATACATAAAAAAAAGAGTTTATATGTATTATATATATACATCAATGTATATGTGTGTGTGTGTGCATGTGATTGAAGTCCATGAGTAGATGAAAGAAGATAAGCAGCCAGGATCAGAGAGGGAACGCAGATAGACAGGGAAAGAGATTGGACGAACAAAAGCAGATAGATGATCATCATATAAAGAGTAAATAAATATAAGTTATCTGATGGCCCAATATATAAAACGAATCATAAAATAAAAGTGGGCTGGATGGATGAATGGGGATGAATGATTGGGGATGAATGAATGATTGGAGATGAATGGACGAGTAAGCAGATGATTAAGAAAGAGGATGGATGAATGACGAGGATCGATAAAGAGCGCGAGAAGACGAATCAGCAGATTAGATACACATGAAAAAAATGAGGGAGATCGATCGATCGATGAAGAGAGTTCAAGCCTGAACGAGGGCGAGACTATTATCCAAGACGGTTTGGATATCCCATCTCTGATTGCCATCGAGATTGACGATCGGATGAGTGAGCGCCGAAGGATTGGACAGGAAGCCGTTCCGCTTCGACATCTTGAGCCCCAAGAGTTCGCCGATCTGGTCCGTCGCAATCAGGATCTTGTCGATGTCCTCTTTCGTGTGCGAGGCCGACACACAGAACCTGACCCGGGATGAGACTAATGGGGTGGCCGGATAGGCTACAACGACAACTACGATCGCATATCTTTCTAACATCATCCTTGAGAATTGTAACATCTATTTGATGATCATCAAAAAAAAAAAAAAAATTGGATTGGTCAACTCCTGGTTCAATAGTTTTTTATTACAATGTCATATTTGACTAACCTTGCCAGGATGGAAGATCAACAACGGGATGATCGGCGAATCTCGATCGCCATAGACGATGAACCCAAGTTTGCGCAAGCCCGAGGAAAGATAACGAGCGTTGAAGGCGAGTCTACGAAGGCGTTCTTGGCCCTCCGGGACGAGCGGACGAGGGACGAGCGCGGAGGGATCCTTATCAGGCGTCGATGATGGGGGTTGGCCAGTCGGCTCGGGGTCCTCGAGCCCGGCAATCAGGGTCAAGGAGGACATGATCTGTTGGATGACGGCCGGACTCATCGATTCACCATACACCGACGAATGGTTCTTGGCTCGGAGCGCTCTGATGATCGACGCTTTGCCCGCAATGTATCCCCCACTCGCTCCGACTATTAACAAAATACCGTCAGACTCTCCCTGTATGTGTTGTTGAAGTAGAGAGGCGGACACTCACATGATTTCGTGAGCGTGCCCATCATGATGTCGATCTCTTCTGGGTCTAAACCAAAGTAATCGCACACTCCCCTGCCGCGTGGTCCTAATGCGCCGATCGAATGAGCTTCGTCGACATATAGATAGAACTACCAACGACAAACGTTAGTCTAGATAATATGGGCAGGCTAGAACAGTGAACTAAAGACTAACCTTGTAGATAGCTTTGAGAGCATAGAGTGCCGGAAGATTGACGATAGTACCTTCCATACTATAGATGCCTTCGACGACGACGATGATCTTCTTCCAAGGACGATGGGTTCTAGGTTGGCCTTGGGAGATAGATTCTCGGAGCAACTTGGCGAGATGATTCATGTCGTTATGTTTGTATTGACGGACCATGCCGCCTGAGAGTCTAGAGCCGAATCGGATGGAGGAGTGGTTGAATTCGTCGGAGATGATCAGGGTTCCCTTGGCGGCGATGGCGGGGAAGGTGGTGGAGTTAGTGGCAAAGCCTTGGCTGATGAGCATGGTCTCCTCGACGCCTAGGAACTGGGAGATCAGTTTCTCGCATCTGATGTGCCTGGCCAAGGTGCCCACATCCTCGCGTGCTCCGCCGACGGAGACGCTCTCGTCGATCAACGTTTCCTCGACCCTGTCGGTAACATATCCTTGTGATTGTGCAAAGCCTAGATAGTTGTACGAGGAGATATTCAAGGCCTGTTGTAGCTGATGGGTGTAGAGGAAGGTCTTGCAATGGTCGTTGGTGACCCGCTGGATCAGCTTGATCGTCCTCCCCGCCACCCCGGTCACCGGTCTCGCAAAACAGTCATCCATGCGTGCCTTCAACCTTCTGGTGTAGAATGAGTCGAAGTCAGAGTTCAAGGCGGCGTATCCATCCTGTGGCATGAGATGAGTGAAGTCGGCGGACTTGAAGCGTTTGCCGAAGAAGTCTCGAACATGACTGTAGGATGGCCATTAGGATTAGTATAAGTTTTCTTTTTTGTCAGTTGAGATGATGAGACGACTGACCCGAGTAGGATGAGGATCAGATAGGAGAAGTAGGTGGATAGATAGACCCAGTAGCCCGGTTCCTCTGGTTCTTGGGTGATGATATCCTGGGCAGAGATGTTGTAGGTCTGCTGGTCGTTGTTGAGAGTGGATTGGAGTAGTTCTTGTTTAGAGTGGAAGCTGGATGAGTTTTGGTTGAGGATCGGTCTGAACTGGGAGATGTATCGATAGTGTTGGTTGTGGTTATCGAATCCGAATTCGGAGTGATTGGCAGTTGATTCTTGCGGTGGTGGTGGTGCTGTTGCTGTTGTTGGTAGTGGGTCGAATGAGATGATGGGTTTGGTGTTGATGAGTTGGTTTGAGGTGGGTGGGTGTTGGCTGAGGTAGAGTGGGTCGGTTTCGTTGTGGGTGAGTTGTTGTTGTTGTTCTGATGAGCTTGAGTCAGATGAGTCTGAGATTGAGTCTGAGGTGGTTGTGAGTAGTTGATGGACTAGGTTCTCAGAGTCGACCATCATGTTGTTTGTAATAGTTTTTTAGTTTTTTAGTTTTTGATGAGATGAGGATGAAGATGAAGATGTGTCAATGTGAATGAGATGGAAGAAGAAGGAGAAGAAGAAGAGCAGGAAGTGTGTTGACTGGATAAGCTTCAGCCAGGGTTACATAAGATGAGCCTGGGTGTATGCACTGTGCACATCCAACAGCAACAGCACCTGTGCGCAGATACTCACCGCCAACCTCCTACATATTTTATCACCGGGAGTTGCCTTTAAACAGGAGTATAAAAACTTCCCAAGCAAGAAAAACACCCACAAAGCAAAAAAAAAAAACATCTACTCTCGAGCAACTGGAAAAACAGCGCGCAGCATTCTAAATCGGAGAGCTTCAACGCTAACTTCACCAGAGTCGGAGAGTTTGATTAAAGTCTTTCATGAGCACTGCATGGCGGAGAGAACCCTTGTTCCGATTCACATCTCAGCGGAGCACTCCTCAATTTAGGATTTCTCTTTATTATTCAGATACATGGATTGATTCATATAACAAAAAAATAACCCAAAAAAATAACAGAAGATGATCACAATGTATCTCAAGATAAGAAAAAACAATGCATCTAGAAGGAAGAACACACAAAAAAAAGGGATGCTTGAACTCATGTGTGAGAAAAAAAAAGAAGTGTTTATATGAGATGGGGGAGGGAAAAAAAAAAGTTACTAATTAGAGATGGCATGATAGAAGCGAACGGGAGGATGAGCAGTGGAGCCGATGGGAGGGGTATCCGAGACGAGAGCGCCTTGAGTATGCAGCTGAATGCAGCTAGAGATCGAGCAAAAGATAGCGATAGCGCGAGCGAAGGAGGCGAGTGAGAGGCTAGCGGCGGCAGCCCAGGCGGCGGTCTGGGGGAAGGGGAAGACCGGGTTGCTGGGCTCGAGGTGGTCGAGGAGGGCGGCTTGGAGCGAGTCGATGGCCCGGCTCAAATGGCCCAGGACGGAGCGATAGATCGCCAGGATCGAGGCCGCCTTCGCGAGCGAATCGCACAGATACGAATGCACATCCAGGATCTTGCTCACTAGCTCGTTCGTCGCTCGGTAGCTGAACTTCACCTCCGCTAGCGCAGGCGTCAATATTCCATCCACCCAGTCGTGTAGCTCCGAGATCTCGGCCATCGCACAACTCAATCCGTCCTCCACTTGTACGATCTCGTCCGCTAACCGTCCAAGACCATTCCATAATCTGGAAGAAATCATCAACAAACAGATTTTTCATCAGTTTTCTTGTCCTGCTAATATACTTATAATATTATTAAGGAAAGAGCCGGAGAGATGGCAACTAACTGTGTATTTGTATTTGTAGTAGTAGGGTTGTGTTGATCGAGATGATTCTGGGTGATGAACGAGCTGAGCTCGTTGAAGTCGCCGGAGAGGGCGTGGAACTGAGTGGCGTTAAGTTTGAAAGGTTCGAGGACGAAGATGAAGCGAGCGAGGCCCTGGTCGATGAGCAGGCTAGCTCTGATGACCGAGACGGGCGGATTGGGGAGCTGTTCCCAAGCGTCGAACTGGTCGCGGTACTGGGTGAGCGCACTGCTGATCGACCCGGTCAGCTCGCTCAGCGCCGCCTCGGCCTCGCGCAGATGGCCCGGCTCGATCAACCCAAACAGCTCGTCCTCGGCCGTGAACGCCTCCGGGGTCACCGGCCCGCCCAGCCCGTCGTATCCCGGCGTCAGCCCAAGCCCCGGCTGGGTGAACGATTCCTCCTCTCGATCTTCACACTCATCCTCGTCGTCATACTCTCCATCATCTTGATCCTCTTCCTCCATCCCATCATCAGACCCTAATTCCTCCGTCGTCTGCCCCGAGAGCTGAGGCGCAGATTTAAACTTCTGCGTCAACGGCAACTCGGCAAAGGCCGACCGGCTCGAGTGGGGTGGGGTGATGGGCATGTGTGGGGCTTGCTTGGCTGAAGAAGCTAGTTGATCTGCAATCTCAGCAGGGTGGGTGGACATCTTGCCCGTGGATAATCTAAGGGTGTTTGTTGTGATAAGGAAGTGACTTGAGTTGTACTCAAGTGCTTTGTAATGGACTTGAAAAAGGGGTAGTAGTAGTAGTAGTAGTGGTGGTGGTGGTGATAAGTTGATAGGCTGTGATGACGGATGATAGTAGTGAAGGAGGAGGAGGGGAGCGATAGAGCCCGAGACGGCGGGTTATTTATGTCGATCGGCCTAGGCGCCATAGTGTCCGAGTTTGCCATGCTGAAGCGAAGGCTGATTAAGGTTGCGTAGCCGAGTTGATGAGGTTGGGCGAGAAGCTGGGGCGGTTGATGAGGCTGGATGAGATGGAGGGGTGAGTAGGCTGGGTGAGATATGCTTATATCCTCGGCTGGAGCATGTGAGCAGATGCTTATACCCCGTGTTCTTCTTGATCAGCCCGGCTGAGTAGGCACTCCGGCACAACACAGCTGCAAGACAACCCTGAGAGAGTTTAGGGTGGTGCACAACCTGCTCCAGGATCTGGCTCCAAGGAAACACACTGAACAGATCCGTGTTGGCCATCGACGGAAGGCTTGTCTGGCCTCCCCCTTCAGACCCACTGTTGGTCCTCTTGTATCAGGCTCTCTGATTCTTGCCTCTGGGGGGTCCGATGTCCTCTGATGCATGGGTTTCCTGCGCTGGGTTTGCAGTTGAAGGAAGACGCCGCAGCCTGCACGCGCGCGGCCTCAAACGAAAAGTCTCCTGGATGAGACCCGCGCTGCGCGCACCGCCCATGAGCAAGTCATGTTAACTTTTACATACAGCTCTGGCTACATTTATGTACCTTTTATAAGCTCGTTAACTTGTTATGGTATAGTGTCGGAGTTCAGAGAAGTGTGTATTAAGGGCTTTGCATATTATAGATGCTCCTGAAGCCTGGTACAATCCCTCCTAGAATGTATGCATAAACCGCTTGATCCTTCCGTTTGTGTTTTCCTTATTACAATGAACTCGTCTCTGGCTCATTCAGGTTATAGGGGGGGGGGCATTCTTCACGTGTATTATTCGAGACTGAGTGAGCTATGTACTCTCTATAAGCCCATGTGACGCGCTCCGGGTAGGTACTATGACGTTCGCCTGCCTTACCGGCGAGAGGGCATGATACGACAGGGGGCGGGGAGTGTAAGTAGAGCCCCTAAAAGCCAAGCCCGAACACCGTTATTCTTCAAGGGCGGGACAACAAATGACCCCGGTTTTCTTGATTCCTCAAAAGGAGAACAATGCGAAAGTGTTTTATATGAGTTATACAATTCCGCATGTCGGGGCCCGCCTGAGTCCAAATTAGTATCAACCAATCAATCTTTAATCTTTGAAGCAAGTCATCCTATTTATGTAACTCAACTTGCACAAAATAAAGAGGGTAATATTCATCTGCCGAGATCTATCTTCCTTTACAAATCGCCAGACCATTCTTGCCTTCCTGCTCGCTTCATATATCCATCGGCCCTGCACTATCATATCTCAGGCGCTGTTGGAGAGCCTTATTTAATATAGGACTGAGATGGTAGAGATTCCTTTCAGACTGTCTTACAGAGAGGTCCTAATTACGTCGACATAGAGACAGATCCTAATTACGTCGACATGGAATTTTACCCCGGCTTCTTCATCCCCACACACCTCAGATATCATTTCCGTCCATCGAGTATGATACTTGATATATCATCATCCAAAAATAACCTTTTCACAGGGCTGGAAGTTCGTAACGGGCATTTCAGTCGTGTGTATGTAATTTTTAATACTGTTACTTATTTATTGTCAATATTGGTAAGTGACCCGGAAGTTCAAAGTGACTTTGACATATCTACTCTTTCTTATCATAGTCAAACACTAGCAAAGGAAATGAGATAAAATGACATCTACAGTTTTGTTAGCAGGAAGAGTGATCCTTGTATTGTGAAATCATGTAGTCCATGTAGAATGAGAAAAATCTGGCCTGATTATTCCAAATCTGATGCATACACACCCACCTTCATGAACACAGGGGAAGCTCTGTTTTCCAACCCTGAAACAGCTTGATTCCTCCCATCAAGGTTTGGGTTATTATATGTGATCTGAGCCACTTCATAGACCAAAAACAACATAGCAATAAAGGTTCCATATTAGACCACTTCTTACCCATGCTCTGTATTCATGTTCAAGAAAGAAGGACACTGCGTTTCCAAGACATCATGTGATGTTACCTGAAATACTTCAACCACAGGAAATATTTCAGTGAGCTCTGTAAGCCAGTGGAGCTCTCTCACCCAGCCTTGTAACGGAACTTGCAACTGCTCTCGAGTCCCTCCTCTAGAAGGACGGAAATTTGCATAGGACGGTATACGATTGCTTGTAAGTCTATGCTGGACCGATGCACTGTTACCAAACGTCGGACGGGATGGATGGCACAAGGAGAGGAGCCATCCGTTCTCAACTTGCTCGAGTCCGACTCCGGGTTCGGGGTATACAAGTGCACCGCCTCCCCCGTGGCTGACACGCGCTCTATCCGGGTGGAGAGGCCCGGGACAGCCGGTAGATCGGGGCCCCGCCCATGCGACGAGAAGTAGGTCTGGAGGGTGAATGTGCTGCGTCATGCGCAGTCTCTCGCCAATAGGTTTCGCTATTTTCCCCCACGCGGCTCAGATCCGGCCCTGCTGTCGGGCAAGTGCACCCCGGTAAGTGAAGTGTACGGAATTACACCCCTCCCTTCAACGGTAAGTCTCATAAAGCCTGCACTACTCACATTGACCCGGTAGATAGCTAACAACACGAAACCGCTCACCTGCAAACCTCCTCACAGACTCTCGACCTCCGACCATGCCATCCAAGATCCCGATCGTCAAGAAACGTACCAAGCCGTTCATGTGCGTCAAAGATTGCCAGTACTTCGTTGTGGTTTCCCAGCAAGAATCTAATGACCTTTCCTCATTCCCTTGATCAGTCGGCATCAATCCGACCGATATGCATCGGTCAAGCAGGCATGGCGCAAACCCAAAGGTATCGACAACCGAGTCCGACGACGTTTCAAAGGTCAACTACCCATGCCATCGATCGGATACGGTTCCAACAAGAAGACCCGACACCTGATGCCCAACGGCTACAAAAAATTTGTTGTCAACAACCCCGGAGAAGTCGATCTGCTCTTGATGCACAACACCACCTTCGCTGCTGAGATCGCCCACAACGTCTCGGCCCGCAAGCGAATCGAAATCATCGAGAAGGCTCGGATTCTTGGCGTCAAGGTCACCAACGCTGCCGCCAAACTGAGATCGGAAGAGTGATCACTTCGACTCTTAATTGTCTCGGCTCTTGTATGCTATCGTCGTCATCATCTTACTACAATAAATTTACATGATCAAAATCTATGACCTCAGCTTGGAACCCAATCCCAGCACCCTCATGTTCCATTCTGCTTTCCCTGATAGCGCGTCGCAAACTGTTGCCATCAAATCGTTCACAATCACTGAGTTCTTTTTGTGATCACCCTCACACCATCGGTGACCTTGCTTGATAAGTAAAATGTGCTCGTCGCAAGCATCCTGCGGTCATGTAAAACATCATGTTCCGCCGGCAAGGGCGCCGATACCCATTCGGATGTTTGGTTCCATTCTAAAAACTCTATTTCATACCTTGTAGCGCCAATGTCTTGTTATCCGTGAGCTAAATGCTGAGCCCCGTACTCGAGGCTCTAGTGAACTCTAGGGCAACGAAATTTCAGTACTGGACCACTCCTTAAGTCGTAGTATATAGAGGGCGTTCAGGTCACCTGGTGATCGCTTAGTTGTAATAGCAATCAACGGAGAGAAAGAAAAAAAAATGGGTCAAACAGGACTAGACAGGGCCTCATTAAGTCATTTCCTATCATATTTCTTTAGGCTTCATCATTGGACTTGATTCCAACATTCCCTGAACTCAGGTTTCTCCTAGTGGAGCATGCAAACATTAAAGCACAATCTTGTACGTAGAATCATTTTACTTATGTAGTTGATGTGAAATAAAGAATCATACATGGTAAATAAAAAGTGATCATATAATCATGAGCAGGTGTTTCTCTCAATGGGCAGAATTGGAAAAATACCATCAGTTGGTTATACTTGGAGGTGATCCCCTTGTGGTATTATCAGACTTGGAGCTGGAGATGATCACCTTTGAAAAAACCGGCATATTGTTGGTAGACATTCTGGATGATAACAGTTAAATCAGCTATGATTCCTGGAACCACAGATCAGAAACCATTACTCCAATGTATGTATGTACATAGAAGTCTTGAAATCCTCAAGAATGACTCAGTTATGGCCGCATTTTAGTTTGATGGCTCTATTCCGGTTATGTTTAAATCCCACAAGGTCCATAAACAGTGAGATTTTAAGAAAAGTGTCTTTTTTGCTGGGATGAGGTAAAAATTCATCAGTCGTTCACATGTTTAGCAAAACATCAGGGCTGGCTCACATTGGCGGAATTCCTGTGGTAGGATCCAGGTCCAATGTAAAGGTGGGTGACCAAAAATAGGAAAGTTTGCCTAAATTCATACATTTTCTGAGGCCATTCATACACCTGTTGTGCATATCCTCCCCTGATCTGTCAATTCCAATCTCCCTAGAATCAGATGTCCAGCAGCCTATAGAACCAGCCTTTTCATTTTTTGTTTTGCTGTCAAGAGTTGTGCAAGAGTTATTTTTTAATTACTCCTGAGGAGTTAGTGCTCAACAAGATCTATCCACTAAAATGGATCACACAACCAAATGAGAAGGAAAAACTTGAGCAGTTCTAGAAAAAAAAAATTGATCAAAAATTCATACTTACAAATGACTCATACATTCTAGGTAGACTAGTGGGTGTGTATGATGTGGTGAATAAAGTTTCATTCATACAGTTTTGGTGAGTACAACCCAGAATTTTTGGCCAAAATTCTTACATTTTGGTTACCCACCTCCTTAGGGGACAGCCAGTTTCCTTCCACAACCAGATTTCCCTGTGAAGGCTGATGTCAGGGGCTCCAAAACTGGCTCCCAAGATTCCTGCAAGAATCAGACACAAATTCATAGCAAAAGCTACTCATCTTTTCATTTAGATAAGACCTGAATGTACCCTCCACCCACCCTGCTGAGGAAAGAGGGATTTTCACGGTCCCAAATTCACATCCGAAGTCAGAGCATTTCTGACCCTTCTAGGTTGGTTGGAGTGAAATAGTTTACAAGACGAAGAAGCTATTGTTTGAGCATCTATTATCCATTTTCCCCACTCTAGTCTCTACCTCCCCTCAAATGCTACAAAAAAGTGGTCATTCTTTTCAGGAAAAAGCAACGTTCACATTGACATAATTGCAATACAGTTTGTTGGGCGTGCCCAGATAGATTCACCAATACATGAAAGGTATGAGGTTCTTATATTAAACTTTCTTGTTTAGCTAACATCAGCATACAATATCCGTTTCGGAGGGTCGCCGTTTTTGGTGGATGGGGGGAGCTTGTTGTAAGATTACTCTCTTCGCTCGTTAGACCAGCCTCCATTAGACTTCTTGCGGTCGGCCGAAAGGGCTTCACCAGTAGCTTTCCGTCAGGTCTAAGGAGTGCATGCATGACACTCTCCAGAAGCTCAAAGGAAGGATCAAGCTCGATAGGGGAAGCTGCACACTCGAGCTACAGATGAAAGCATACCCTCAGAAATTAACAAATTTGATCATCGTAGTCGCGGATAACTTACCTCAAGAATTAGCCAGGATAGACTGGTGTTGCCACTTGTGGCCCCTTTGTTTGTAACTGTGCCAAGGCGAATCCACCAATCCGGCTGAGTGTCCTTGGTCCACATGCTTGAAGCCATCGATCCCATGTTGGATGTAGGGCTAATTTCTGATTCAAATGAACTTGAGTATATTCCCCAAGACATGCCTTCAATTGCGACGATGTTCGGCCTAGGGCACCAAGCTGATGGTATTAGTGAGGTTTGAGGGGCACAAATGGTAGAGCTTAACAGCTGCTCGAAAGAATCAGGAACTGAAACGATTGAAACTCGGTAGTGACTTGGCGCAATTTTGACTGATGGGGTTTTGATAGCTCCATCCAACACCATGTCAGCAGATTCCTGTTCGGTAGTCACCGCAATGTGAGGTGCCGCAGTTTCAGTTCCGTTGTGGTTGGTGGATGGTTGATCGACTGGTGTGGGTTGGGAGTCTGCCGTGTTCACGTCTCCCGTATGTTTCTCATGGTTTTGAGAGGCTGGCGGGTCATCTTCTGTTTTCTTGTGGAACTCATTAGAATCGAACGGGGAACTGAGGTCAGGTTGTTGAGACGTTCTATCCTCATGAGACCGAATGGGAGCTTCTGCGTCTTCGATCAAAGCAACCAGTTGGCCCGGCTTTCCAGAATGACGCAGACAGTACATCGTTCGCTGCTTCTTGCCCTTATTTCGATCATCTAGCGCGTCATCCTGTCGGTCGGGAGGCTTGGTCGCGTGTTCTATCGGTGGGAGGGGCTGCCTAAAACTTCGGATGACGGCAAGCCAACGTTCCCTGGGTAGAGCCTGAGTATCCACGAGGCCGTTGGTCAGGGCCAAGTGTTCTGAACATTGGATTTTGTGCGCAATGAGCTAACCTGATGATCGCGCAGTAATCGGTCAGTAACAAGCTGGAACGCATCAACGCCAATACCCTCAACCCGTGCAACGAGGGAAGCGCCCATGGGTCAAACGGTTCAGCTGAAATCGATGGGCGTAAGTAGGATGAGCTGGGACGAGTTGGTAATTCCAAAGACTATCAGAACCGTGGAAGCGACATTGGTGGTGGTAGTGTACATATACGTAGACGTAGGAGCGCCGGGCTACAAGTCTCTCAATCCGACTCCGGAGGCCGAGCCCGCGGTCGCGAGACGCTCTGCGCGCGCTATGGAGCTCCCAGCCTCCAGGTCGACATACCGCCAAGGTCACTTTGACAGTTTACAATGGAATGTATTTCTTGTCTGAGAGTGGTTTGCGGTAATGATAGATCGGAGATGTCAGGGAAAAAACGTCAACTAGAAAAAAAAGGAATTTATAAACAAATAACAAAAGTGTTGTGGGGCATCAGGAGGGATGTGTTGTTTTGAATAGTAAGTGTACCCAAAAACGACAAGCAACATACCAGCAGGCAAGAGAACGTCCCCATCTCAGGTGCTAGGCCATACATTGGCATCCACTGGATTGGTGTAACGACTAAGGTCACAGCAGCCCCAGACAAGCAAAAGACGAGATGATCCACAGCACACGCAAACGGATCGAGCTAGCTAATTTTTCTCCAAAATAAGACAAGTTTTTTATTTGATTACAGAAATTTGATGTTTCAATGATAAAACAAAGATTTCTCCATGAGGAAAAAAACCCTCAAAGCAAGTACACCACGGGGCCAGTTTTTTGAAACTGGCCCCATCCGCTGGACGCTTTCCTGAAGAGAACGTCCAACGGATGCGATCAGAGCGTCCGAGGGATGCTCTGGCGAGCCAGCATCACTTGGATGCTTCCAAAAGCATCCAAGTGACGCTGGCCAAATGTGAAGCGTCCGATGGACGCTATGATCTATCGTCCATCGGACACTCTCCAACCAAGAGTGTCCGATGGATGACGGTTTTCAGTGTGTCCATTGGACACTTTGAGTTACAATTCCTGATTGGAGCCGGTGGTCGATGGTCGAAAAAAGCTTCAAAAGTTCGGTCGATGGTCGAAAAAACACTCTGAAAATGCGGTCGATGGTCGAAAAACACTCCAAAAGTGCGGTTGATCGTCGAAAAACACTCCAAAAGTGCAAGTGATGTGATTGTCAAAAAAATCTCTAAAAATGCACTTGATCATGAAAAAAGGCTGTGAAGTGGCTTACTCCAAAGTGCAAATTCGGTGTATGAACAACAGTTTGGGTCTGCTTGCAAGAATAATTCTGTGTAGTGTAGTCAGTAAGGACAGGCTTTGCGGATGTGCAGTGGCACCTCCATGAGGTCATGGGTTCAGATCTGGGTGTGCTCATTTTTTTGTTTTCATTGCAGAAAAAAAAAGCATCCAGTGGATGGCTTGAAAACTATCCAGTGGACAGTCTTCCAGAAAACGTCCGCAAACTGTCAGGCAGAGTAGTGTCCAATGGACACTCTCTGCCCTGCAAGTTCTGGACACCTCAGATGATGTCCAGAAGAGTGTCCATGGGACATCAGAATAGTCCCGTGGTGTACAAGTTCTTAAATACCTTCATCTAGCTACAACCAGATTGTGCTTAATCATTTTTTGTTACTACTAGACTTGTTACAGATTAACAAATCTTTTTTCTACCTAAATGATTATTTTCTTAATTATTTGACTAGAGAACTTCTTTTCTGATTGAAATTAAGATCTCGAACCAAATTTTCTTCTTCTAAGAATACTGATATTTTGAATTTTCTTCTTTGATAAGTTACCTATGTCATTGGTCCTTCTTCTAACTGAATTCATTTTCATAATGATTTTTGAGTTTTGCTGTGTGTTGGGCCTGCTCATTACAATTGGGAGGTCAATATTGAATAAAATCATCTTAGATGTGATTTTCAAGTGGCTTTTAAAAATTGTTTGGGTATCCCACACAATCAAACATGGATCTCTTACCCTCAAATGTGAATCTCCCTTTTAATGATCCTAACCCAGCTGGATTAACTCTTCCTTTTGTCAATTGGAGACTTGTAGAGTGTTAAAAGAAGAATGAAATACCAATGTCTAAAGTATTTCCAAACTGAAGAATAGAATGTGGCAATTATGGTGGTTTACAACATTGAAAATTTCTCAGCATAGAAAGGAAGGACAACATTTGTGGCTCAGTGTGAGAAAAGAAAACTGTCAACCTGCAAATTCTCACCCCACCAAGCCTGGGAAAAGGATGAAGAAAATTACTACAGCAGGAACCTGGTCAGCGGTGGGCCGCTACACTACAGGGCCATTTAGTGTTAGCGCAGCGGCGCAAAAAGTGGCCCTTTTTGTGTAGTGTGAGCGCCCCGCTACCACCGCTATGCTAGGCTACTTTGTAGCGGCACTAACAGAATTTTTTTTCTGTAGTGTTAGCACGCCGCTACCACCACTACGCTACAGTGCTTTTAGCGGCAAAAAAGGCTAAAAATCCGCTAAAAAGCGCTGTAACACAGCGTAGTGGGTACTTTTTTGTGCCCTGTCTGTGTAGCGTTAGTGCAATTCCAAATTTTGGTGCTAACACTACGCTAACTGTTAGGGCACTGTTGCGCCCTTTGCATGTAGTGTTAGCGCAGATGTGGCAGAATTCGGCTATGCTACGCTAAAGTTTAGTGGAATTCCGCTATGTTACACTACACTAACACTACGGTTAGCGTAACTGGCCCAACGTTGCCCAGGTGAGCGCTTCCAGAGGTGCCTAATATAGACACCAATTGCCCAAAAACAATTTGGCTTTCAACCAAACATTAAATTGAGATTAATTTAACATGGGGTCATGTACATGCCAATTTTGCATTTTGTACATGTATATACTAGTGGTGAAACTGCACCAGTGACCCTGAAAAAGCAAAAAACTAAAAATGAATTTGAAAATTCCTTCATTTTTTTTTTCTAGTTTTTTGCTTCTCAAGGGTCACTGGTGCAGTTTCACCACTAATAAATACATGTACAGTGGGTAGACAGTGAAAAGTGGCTGCCTATTTTGGATTCCAGAGCTCCAGAGCACAAATTTGAAATCATGAGACTTGGTCAGGTGGTGCATAATAGCTCCCAAAAAATGAATATGAAATAATAAAAGCAAAAAATAAAGTTTGAAAATTTGTGAAAAATAAAAAATAAACTCGATTTTTTTCAAAAGCTTTAATATTCATTTTGAGGGAGTGGGAGTGCTGAGAGAAAGAAAGAATGCAACACGGGAAGAATGATTATAAATGAAAAAAATTGGAACCAAAAAAGGTTTGGCAAGGTTGGTGGTCCAGATTGGAGCCAAAACAGTAAATTCTAGTGCTTTGCTGCAATGTGGGCTGGTGAATGCCCCACTCAACAGCTGTTTTAAGCCATCTGAAAACCAGTTCTTCCAAAGTTTTCATTCATAATCATTCTTCTCATTTCCCAATCTTCCTTTCTCTCAGCACTCCACTCCCCCAAAATGAATATCAAAGCTTTTGAAAAAAATTGAGTTTATTTTTTATTTTTCACAAATTTTCAAACTTTATTTTTTGCTTTTATTATTTCATATTCATTTTTTGGGACCTATTATGCACCACCTGACCAAGTCTCATGATTTCAAATTTGTGCTCTGGAGCTCTGGAATCCAAAATAGGCAGCCACTTTTCACTGTCTAGGCACTGTACAGGATGCACACAACCCCACATTAAAATCAGGCCAAACTGTCTTTCTGTCCATTTGGGTCTATGTTAGGCACCTCTGGAAGCACCTGCCTGGGTCCTACTACAGCCTGGGAAATCTTTTTATGAACCCATAAAGATGCAGTTTTTTTGGCAGAAGTGGTAGGGGGTATCAAGCAATATGGACTTATGGGTTAAGCATCATTTTCCCACCCACCAAATTGATTGTGAGCCTGGGTCTCTATAGTAACAACAGGACACAAGATATGGGGGGCACTTTTATATGTATTTCTTAAGAGAAGAGAGATACAAATAAAAGCAAGAGAAAGGGAATGAGAGAAAAGAAATAGAAGGATAATGTTTTTTTTCTTTATTTATTTTATGAAGATGATTTAAGTTGAGCAGTCTTACTTTCCTATAAAGATGGCTGGTTATAAGCAGAGCTAACTCTACGCCTCCAAATCAAAGGAAACCGAAATTGGATATTGAACTGATAAATCAGATCAATCCACAATTTTTTAGATCAAGGATCAAGGCTCTTTAAAGGGAAACCTATGTAGTTTTCAGTTGTACTACCAAACAGGAAGAGTTGAGATAATAGCAGCTATGGCTTGCTTTCTTTGGTCAGGGCTTTGGTTTGGAGAAGAAGTGCAAAGGTTGAGAGAGACAGAGAGAAGAAACAAGCAGAAAGATGCTAGCTAAAACTTATAAGAAGTTACTTACTAATGACACCAATGACACTGAGTAGTGGGAAAGGTGGGAAAAGTGGAGTACTTCTGGTTGATAAGTGATGGCTTGGTCTGGTTCTGGGTGTTGGTGTTCTGTGTTGGTCTGGAGTCTGAAGATCCAGAAGCTGCGAACTCAGTATCCTCTGAGAGAATTTTCAGAGTTGGATTACATAATCACAACATGTACATGTGGTAGGGAGAGTTGGAATTCCAACTTAGTTGATATTTCACAAGGTACAGTGAAATATAACAAAGTCTATGAAGGAGAAGAGTAGTGTAAAAGTGGTTAGTAGTGACTAGGGTTGAAATTACATGAGGAATTCATTTCTGAACTCAGAATTCAATAAAATCTTAAGCTTAACAAGTTACAGTAGGAACATGGATGGAAATGGGGGACTTAAGCAGTCTTTTGGCCAGCTTGGCTGGCTCTAAGGCTGACATTGATGGAACAATTTTGCCATGGGTTGATAGAGAGTTGAATGTACTTTTTGCAAGGGAATATTTCTGAAGAACATTTCTTTTGAAATCATGTGGTGGTATAACATGAAAAAACAATATAGTCAAACCTGTCTAACTGCATACCTGTATAAGCCTAAGGGCATAAACCCCCATACTACATACTCATTTGAGTCCACCAAATTATAATTTTTGCCCTTAGCCTACCCTCGTAACCCCATAAAAAATTTTTTCCACCAGGGGGTATGTGGTTAGAGAGGTTTGACTGTATACTTGTAGGAATGGAATTTGAAGTCAAATATAGCTCTCAAGATACAAGTTCAATTTTATGATGGTATAAGGACTCAAACAAATATAAGAAAGTTTCAATTTCAATATATTGGGACCTTTGTTGCCCAGGACCTGTGGTGGATCACATTGTGGATGAAAATAAAGTAGTTTCTTTTCTTATTCCTTTTTTCCAATACCATGAATTAGCTCAATTGCTCACTCATATAACATCATCTTTCTGGTGATAAGAAATCAATGATCTTGTTTGTCTTCTCTCATAGGACAGTTCATAGTGGGAAATATAACAACTCCTTATTATTACAAATGTTTCCTGAAATTATCAATTTCAGCAGATGTGTTGGAAAGACAGAAATTTGATGTGGAATTTTTTTATGAAAATTACACTGAAAACATTAATAAGTCAATAAATTTTCCAATGTGTGCTGCGCTATTCAATCAAGGTTGTATGTCTAATTAGGATGTTGCTGCAAGATAGTATGTACAACAAGGAAAACTATTTAGCTGATCAGGCGTCCAAATATGGATACAAATGAAATTGTTAGATCTTAATTTACAATTCAAGGCTAGAAATTTGACAATACGGTCCACCAACCAGTTGGCTTGTCGACCAGGTGGAGTTATGGTAATAAATACAGTTATAGAAAGAATCTTGTGTAGTGCAACACATTTCATGGCACATGTTTACAACAACAAGCGACTTCCGAAGGCAATCTGCATTGAAATGTAAGTTGGACAATCTAAATGGGGGTCCTGCAGCCCGCAGTGAGACCAGAGGATTGCGGAAAGAGAAAAAAGTGGTTAATGAAGGCGCGTTTCCTTTGAAAATTTTGACCGTTTGTTGTTTTTGAGGTGCGTCAGAGTGCGCTGAGAGGATAATAAGATCCCGGATTGTCCAACAGGGCTTAACGAGATGGTCGGCTTCCTTGTGCGGATGTTAATGGAATATTCGAGTAAAGGACTTCACGCGAGTGGTACGAGACGGGGGGTGTGATTTCGTTCTGTGGAAAGCGTGCGGAACTCGTCAGATTTTTGTTTACAAGTCTTACATACGTCTTTGCTTCAAGTTGTGCATGAACACGGCAGAATGGGAAAATAAAATTCTACTGACTACGCCACCAATGTAAATTGTTTGATTGCTCCTGAGCATTTCGTCAAACGCTGAAGAGGAGGTGGTTTGGGGGCGAGCAGTTTGAGATTGAGGCTTCGCCTTCGGTTGCGATTTTGAGGTGAGTCCGGAGTGATTTTGCCCACGCGAGCTTTTCGAACGAAACATTTGAGCTAAATTTTTCTTGAATTGGGGGCCTACTCCAATAGGAAGATTGTGAAGATGTGGTACGAATTCGAAAGAGGATGATGAGTTGGTTAGGTGGGGATGCTCGTTTGAATCGAATTTAGAACCCAGACGATGATACGTTGGTGAGAGACCGACAGTGGGACATTGTTGGTTGCAGCCGAACGTAATTTTACTAGTTTCTACACTTTTCCCATCGTAGTCATCTTCGCAAGGATTGTCGTGAGGATGATCCGTCAGATAGCCGGGGGACCTCCGGCCTGCCAAGCGATAAAACATGCTCATCCTATCGCGTGACGCGTTCGGTGAAATGGTAGGAAGCGGAAGTCGAAAATTACAATGTTATCCCTCCAGCCGAGAGCCCTGGTCCTTGTCAATCAAACAACAGTTAACACACATGGACTTTGACATGGCCAATGTCGAAAATGAGAAGCATGACCTCAAAAATTATGCTCAGCGGCAATAGTTTGAAGACACCCATAAACAACGAACAGACATCTCGATGGGGCCCCATAAGAATCTAAGCGACGTATGTTCTCGGGATAGATACCCACCAGGCGGCTACATAGGAGCTACATGAAGGGATGCTATCAAAGTATCAATCCTTGAATTCACCATTTCGACCTTTTGGGTCAAGCGCTTCTTGAATGATAAATAACTTGAAAGCATTGGCCCTGCCTCTGAGCTGTGCCTTGACAGCAGCGATGCATGCAACCCTGTTGAATCCTTTCAGCTCAGGGAACTCCATTGTGCGAATGCTGCGCTTATGAGCCCCTCAGCTTTAGGGTTGATGGCGCGCTACCTGAGGCGCACCGATATGCGGGCGCCGCGCACGCGCGCCCTCGGCGCGCGTGAAATCCGGAAAAAAGGGGGGTGGCGCGCACTTCTAACCCTAAGGGCGCGTACCACAGCGCTTCCCACTTTGAAAATCGATTTGGAACCGTTTTCTTTTTTGCGCTTTTTTTAAAACGGAATCAAAAATCACCTTGTTGGAAAACGTGTACCAGACAAACACAGTTTTGCACCGCTCACCGCTTGCGCTTCATCTCAATCCAAGCCATGTATTCCTCAGCACATCTCAAATGCTCAGGAACCAACAGGTCATCAGCAGCTACTCACTACACCAACTCCACCAGTTAAACAGCAGTGAAGTTCTGGTGTGGTTGACACACAGTTGATTGGTAGCCAGATTTATACATAGCACTCCTTCTACTTATGGGTCTAATGTGCATTCTATCTATCGATTGTACTTTCTTGTGTTCTTTCTTCTTGTTGATCTTTTTTGCATTAATTCTATTGATCGTACCTTTTCTGTGTTCTTTCTTCTTCTCGTTTTGCTTACTGTTCCTCAAGTAGAACAGACATGTTTTCAATGTTGTTCTTCACAAAGATGAAAAGCAAGTGGTGGTTTGGACTTCGGTCGATCAAGCTGGAAGAAAGTGGCTTGATTGACCGAGCAGACTACAAATGAAGAGACATGTTTTTTATGATACTGAATCCGATCAGTCGCAAGTCTTGTGTTTGGGTCAATATACATAGTAGAGGTGGTAGTAGATCCTCAGACCGGTGATATTGGAGAAAGGGTATGATCGATCATGTGTAGAGTGTGTATGATGATTTGGCATTGGTAACGAGAAGGCTGGAGAATGCCAGATGAAGTGTTTCTCCAAACGGGGGTGGGGTTCCTCAAACGGCAGCAAATGTGAAAAAACGATTAGGTGATTCATCAAATAAATTGACCCATGTGGTACGCGTTTTTGGTCAAAAACATTTACTGCCAACAAAATTGGAAATTGGCGGTCCACGGGCGGCTATGGTACGCGCCCTAACATTTTCGGGGGAGTCATCCATCAACTGCCCATAAAAGTGATATTTTCTTGGGTTTCTTGTTGGTTGAACTTACTTTTTGGCCCCCGAGAACCCGGTTCGACCCCCCAAATATTGTGCAGTGCTGCATGGCACCCACCAATTGTGGCTACCCAATAAAGCAAAGTCAGACTTTGCTGTGGTAAAAAATTGAGGTTGAAAAAAAATTAAAAAACATGGAAAATAGACGATATGTACATGTTTTTTACTGCAGAAAATGGCGCCCCTGGCGCGCCTCCAATGTGCCAGCCAAAGGCGCGCATCACTGGCAGTTTTGGAGGCGCCTTCCGGTGCGCACTTTTCCAAAAGTGGCGCCATCAACCCTACTCAGCTTACACAGCAGACACAATTTGTGAACTTGGTCATGAACAAGTTGTCCTCACACAAAACCTGCCATTCTGACCAGCAAAGGCGGCATTCTGACTACCAAAGCCTCCATAGGCGCCAGGCACCCAGAATGTCTGGGAAGATCCACCTGAAGCTTGAGAACCTGATACAAAAGCAAAAATGTTTTTTTGAGACATGGACCAAAACCACACAATCCCAGAAGGAAATTGATGTTGGTGGCTGTAGTGAGTGTGCATAAGTTGCTCGACTGGATGACATTCCCATGAAATGATACCGCCTTGTCTGGCTTGCAACCTAAGAAGAAGCGAATGCAAAGGATACATTGAACAACACAGAAGTCTTTAACTGAGCCCCAAAATTTTTACGTGTGGTTTGGTTTGATTTTACTTTTCATCACATTTTCTTTGCGGTAGTAATAGTATTATAACCAAAAGTGCAAATCTTTTGTTGCACTTCAATCAAAGACCAAGTTTTTTGCTTATGGCTTTGATCGATGGCATGAGAAAGTATCCTCCACTGGCAATCCAAGCCATGAGGGTCCCATCCGAGAACAAAATAAAAAATTTCAGTGATGTTAAAAGCTTTCGGGGGGGGGGGGGTTCTATCTGAAAAAATGATTCACAAACTGACCCAAGAGGAACAACAAAAGGTTGAAGTGCGGTCAGCACGTTTTTGGGATTGGTATTCCCTCCTGGGACCTGTCGTGTTGCAAATATTTACATAGCCAAAAGGTGAATAATTTCCCAAAAAATAAATCAATTAAATTTACTAACCAATGGGATGATGTTTTGAGCCCGTTGGGGTGATTTGTCGTTGTTTTGACCAACTAGTAGGTCCAGCCCGTAGGATACATTAGCCACTGGTTGCAATGGAAAGTTGGGGCTATTGCACCATGCCTAAACTCAAGAAAGAAAGGCACACTTTTTTAGTATTTTTTTATTCAAGACAGAGAAAGAAAATGTATGAATGGAAGATATGATTGCTTGCTGAACGTGTTGGAATCCATCAGCAACTTCACTTTGGTACGAAACAAACAATAAACCACGGTTTTCTTCCGTTCTGTTCATGTTTTTTTCTTCCTCTGTGAGCTCAGGACATAAAAGGAAACACTGGTTTCACATTTGGTTGCTCTCTGTAGATAAAACTGAAATTACGCAGGAGAACATTTGAAGCGAACCGTAGGGAATCCCACTTCTCACCATGAGGCGACGTAAGGTAAAGCTGTGATTTGCGTTGGGTCAACCACCGATGTGTGGGTTTGCTTTCCTGAAAGTTTGGAAAAAACACATTGGAGGAAACCAAATCTCATTTTATGACTCTCTAATCTCATTTGAATTGCAATGAGAAAGTACCTGATATGAGCAGCATAGGGACACCGCTCTTGTTTCAATTCATCCAAATAATCAAAATCTTGTGATCCACTTAATTCTGGATTATCCTCATTGGGGGCCAAGCTAATCGGTGCTCCTGAGAAGTAAAGAAAAGCATTACTTAATTATATCCTAGGCCGGTGATGTTAGGCAAGTCACATGGAACGGTACCTGATTTCCATCTGCCCATGATCCTAGCCGCAATAAATTCACCAGATATGTTCAAGTGTTCAAATTTTTTGGCCGTCTCCGCACAAAAGCTTTGAAACTCAGGTACAAGTTGTCGCAGCTATCTGAAAGCCATGAATGGCCCATCTTTGAGCCATGCTTGATAGGGATTGAGATCAGTGCTATTTCCAGTGGGAGCGGTGTACCCAAGTAAGATCACATTTGGTTCAACTATGCCGGCCTTTTCATCCTCTGGTCGAGCATTTACACCTTTGATCTTTGCCATGGAGATTGAATCCTATACACTTTACCAATTCTGAGTCAGGTATTGGTAGAACAAGTGCCGTGCCAAGAAACATAGCAAGCAGCAAGAGAAAACATAACAATCAACTGGGAACCCAAAATGCTCTTTACCATACTGATCACCAGGCCTGACATTGCCTTGGCAAAGAAAAGATTTTGACAAGTACCCATCCAACATCTTCCCAATCTGGTTGAGTTTTTGATCTAGTAAATCCAAGCTCGGAGCAGTGATCAAGATAACGAAATCGATCGGGTTCACTTCATCTAAAAAATCCTCAGACCAGGTTTTTAATCTTTTGGTTGCTTGATCTACCGGGTCTCCCAAGTTGTCCACGGCATTGACCGGTTGGCCTTTGGAAAATACTCTGTTCTTTAGCCGCTTTTTCCGCTAAAAGCGCTGTAGCGCAGCGTAGCGTAGCGAAAATGCGCTACAAAAGCGCTAACACTACCAAATTTTGGCGCAAAAAAAGCGCCGCTACGCTACGCTTTTTGGGTCAAAAGCGTAGCGTAGCGTAGCGGCCCACCGCTGACTCTATCTTTCTTACTTCCCTCTTCTTCTTAATTCTTCTCAAAACTCTTCGTTCTCCGTCCCTCTGTCGTCGAACCACCTACAACAAACCACAACTCGATCACTTCCTCAAGAATCGACGACATGAACCACAAGTCAACCGATCCTCTCAAACCACTTAAAACCCGCTCCCTCCGACATCCTGAACCATTCCTCAGCTGCTCTCCGATCGACTCCAACATATCGATCCTCTTCCACATCAACTAGCGCTGTGGTATACCTTAAGGGTAGCCATCTGGCCCATTTAAAAATTTTACAGTTTTTTCTTTTATTACAAATTACATACTGTTTACACTTCTTTTTTCTCATATATACACTCACAAATCAACCATTATGGCTCAAGAACTGGATTCTATGGTCAATTTCACCCTTGGTCACCACTGGAGGCGTCACTGGAACTCAACTGGATTGGAAGCTACACCCTCTGGACCATCACTACACTCAATTACACAACTCACCACCATGGCAACACTTCAACACTCAACACCAACAACAAATTACATCATTCACACTACACACATGCACATTGCAGGACAACTACATACTCACATCAGTATAGTACAGGTATACACATAACTACACTATCTTCTGACACTTGATATATGTAGCTTCTAGGCTGGTCCTGTTGCTATGTCACTTGTTAATCTTCCTTGCAGCTGTCAGACTATCTCACACCACTCATGTAATACTCATCACCTCACCTTAGCTTGCAGACTAGTACATCACCTCATGTAAAATGCTACACCAGCATAAAAACCTCATGTAGACTTCTAGTTCAAGCTAAAATAACTCTTATGACATCATGTAGTTTGCTCAACCAGCCAAAATACCTCATGTACATGTTCTGACTAGCTAAATCCCCTCATTGTAAAGCTCTGGCCAGCTAAAATCTCTCATTCTCTTGTTCCCCTGAAGCTAAAATCCCTCACCTTTGTGTATTTAAGAGGCTCTCCTCTCAGTTGTTTCCCCCTCAGTTTAGTATCCACCTATTTCATACCCCCTACCCTTACAAACCCTTACATACCATTACATACCATCCCCTTACCATTGAAATATCAGCTAGACTCACTCTCTCATTCTCAAATCAACCTCTTAGACCTATATAAAACTGGGTTAAACCCTTTGTCCACCTGTTAAGCCACAGTTATCTTTTGATACACTCCACTATCACTTTATTAAACCTTCCAATCTGAGATTGGTGGGCTTGTCTAGTGTCTAGTGATCCAGGAAAGGCAGAGGTATCCTCATTCATCCCTTTCCACACTCAGCAAAAGGTTTTCACAAACACTTTTGAGCTTTACAGCGCTCAACTCGTCGTCTCCTTCACTCTCGACTCTTCACCATTTCTCCACACAACCTCATCATCAACTTCCCCTTCCGCCTTCGAATCCTCTTCTCTTTCACTTTCTACTTGATGTCCCTATTCTCTCTCATCGATCAATCTTATCGAGCTCGTCAACATCTCGATCTCTACTCCTTTCAAACATCAACACTCTTGATCGCTTCAACCTTCTCTCTCAACTTTCTATCGGGTCTTTTACCAATTTGGTGAGAAACACATCTTCACCGACATCAAGAACACTCATCGACTCTGATACAATGAAGCAGCCATTAACAACTTACATTTCTTTTGTCTCTTCTTCTCTTTGATTGTGTAGCTCCTACTACCTATCCTTGTTTGATCTCATCTACCTTGGTTGATCTGTTCTTGTTCCGCTAAAGATTAATTCTTCTTGTGGTATGCTATTTTCTCTTGTTTTAATTTTCATGCCAAAAATTGTCTTTGTCTAATTTTCTTGTCTTTAGTTCTGGTTCTAGTTTCAGTAATAATTCCTGTTTTTCATCAAAGGAGGTCTAATGTACAGCAATCAACCAAAACCACCAGAATGAAGGCAATCAACGTGCTACTGGCGTTGTGGAACTTTTCAAGCTAAAGAAAAGAGCTTAGAGGGGAAAAGAACAACTACACAACGTAAAATGTGAGTTGAAGACTTGGATGCTGATGGGGGGTTGATAAGCGCAAGCCAACCCCCCACGCGCACGCCAATCTGCACGCCAACTGCAGATTGGCGTGCGCGCCTGCACGCCATTGCAGAATGGCGTGCAGGCGCCCAGCCTTTTGCCTGCAGAGGTATACCCTCCAGGTTTGCGTGCCTGGCTGCACGCGCCACCTTTAGGTCCTAGACGCATATATAATATGGGTTTAGGACCTGGCGTCCCATAGGACCCATGCCTGGGTCCTATGGGACGGCCCCAGCATTGATTTTTTTTTTCTTTTTTTTCCCCCTTGGCCTAGAGAGGCCGAGGTCACACAGCCAGGAGGAACCCCTCCCGGCTTGCCGGTCTACAGTCCAGCGGAAGCGGAGTGACTACTTCAACCGAGCCATCCAATGTCAGTTATTGTCGATAGCTCAGCGGCAAGCGTCAAACCGAATGCTGATCTTGGCAGGACGACGGGGATGATGGGACGCCACTTAAAACAAGCGGTAAGTTATCAAGAGTGTAGGTAAGTCCTCCAGGATGGGAAAATCGTGCGTACTTAAATCTTTGGTCTATCTATCGAGCTCGACATGACAGTCAAGCAGTCCATCCATGCCGGTGAAACCCATCCTCCTGGTTCAGGATCCATAAACCACACCCCCAACTTTGACCCTGAAGACCATCTGGCCGAAAGAACCAACATCGGGAGCGCTGGAGAGGGGTCATCCGGCGGGCTATCAGACGTAGTGCCGCCCCCAGCCCCGCACGATAGTAGAAGAACACCACCATCCTCAGCCTTGGACGAAGGCTCTTCGACTCTACAAACGTTGGTGCCGACGACCAACGACACTCGACCATCGAAATCGCCAATGTATCATCCTATCAGGACTTCATACGACAACAACGACCAGACGGCCTCGGAGATCGTTTGGGAGGACGAGCCTTTGATCTGGAGAATCATCGCCCAGGGCTGGAGCTTCAAGAAGGCATTCCCAGAGATCTTGAAGCTCTCGTGCTTTCTTTACCTTACCAAGTTCTTCCCCCACGCCCGTTGAGCTGCAAAGTCCTCTACTTTGTCTCCTCGGTCGTCCCGCAAAATGCTTCCAAGAAATCTATTCATATCCATTTGGCTTGTGTATTTGTAACTGTGCGTTCTCCTGGTCATGGCTGTTCAACTTCCAGTCAAAGTCAACCCCCCGCGCTCACTTCATCACGCTCAAATCAATTCTCTCCTACTTGTTTTGTTCTCGTTTTCCCTAATTTGCGTTAATCGTAAATAACTGTCGATAGTGAGCCTCTTCATCAAAGGAAATCTGCAGAAAGTCTTGTACATATGAATTTGTGTGATTCTCATTTCCATTCGTTTGTCGATCATCTTGTAAATACATATTATTTATTTACATTCCATTTCGAGCCAGTGATCTGCTCTCTTTTTGAAGACGACGAGATGCCTAAGCTTCGAGGACCACTCTTCAAATTCGTGCCTGGCGGGAAAATCCTGTGCATGAAGTGCAGGAATATCTGTCCTTGCGCTTCCTGTCGGAGGGCCCGAGGCGAGAGAGGGGTGATGGGTAATGGGTTGAATGGGTTTTACGACTTAATGCGCGACGAGACAAAGACCGAAGCACCGCTAAGGAAAACGAAAAGGAAAGAAAGAGAACAAGTGAAACCCTCCCGCTTGGACAAGGTACATGTACCTCGTCCAAGCAGAAGGCTTTCCTTCCGATGGACGAGATACACGTACCTCGAGACCGGCGAGCCGGGAGGGGTTCCTCCCGGCTGTGTGACCTCGGCCTCTCTAGGCCGAGGGGAAAAAAAAGGAAAAAAAAGAGTCCCATAGGACCCATGCCTGGGTCCTATGGGACAGCCCAGGTCCTAAACGCATATAAATATGCGTTTAGGACCTGAAGTTTGGCGTGCAGAAAGGCACGCCAACCTGCAGGGTATACCCCTGCAGGCAAATGGCTTGCCTGCCTGCACGCCATTCTGCAATGGCGTGCAGGCGCGCACGCCATTCTGCAATGGCGTGCAGGCGCGCACGCCAATCTGCAGTTGGCGTGCAGATTGTCGTGCACGTGGGGGGTTGGCTTGCACTTATCAACCCCCATGCTGATGAAGCTGCCCTCTTGTCAAGGCTTGGGAGAGAGTTACACTAAGAATTGAAGAAAAGGTGTGGCTATTTCTGTGGGTAATCTTAGTATGAGGTTTATTACTGATGTCTTGTACAAGTCACCTGCTGAGAGATTGAGGATGCGGGGGCTTCTGGTAAGGATGAGGCTCTGGGGGGTAATGGTTTCTGGGTTCAATTTCTTATCTTCTGGGGGAAAATCAATAATAATTACTTCTGGTAACTACTAGTAAGTGATGTCTGCTAAGTAATTATCTGTTTACTTCTCTCATGCAAGCATGGGGAACAAAGTAAGTGGGAAAGGGTATTCTCTATATACATGTGGGTGGTTCTGATCAGATACTAGTGGTAAGATATCAGCTGATGTACGAAAATGGTATGAAATAAGTTGTATCTGAAAGACAATTGGTTATGAAATGAATGTGGCTGACAAATGCGTAGTGTGAAATAAACATGTTGAAAAGGAGAAAATATGAAGTAACTTCTGTTTGTGATAAAAATAATATGTAGTGCAAAAAGAAATGAGATAATCAAAGACTGAAATAAATATTCTGAGGTGAGATGAGAAATCTGTGTGGTGAAATATATATGTAGGTGATATAAGCAATGAGTAATGAGTTGAAATGAGATGTATGATGAGAATGTAGGTGATATAAGCCATGTGTATTGAGTTTTGAAATGGAATGTAAGAATGAAATACTTGTAGTATGAAATAAATGTAGAATAAAATAAATGTAGAATGAAGTAATTGATGTATGAAAAGAAGTGGATGATGAGTGAGATGAGATGACAATATCTGGATGAGAAATCAAATGTATGGGATGAAACAGTATATGTAGTCTGAATAAGTGATATCTGAGATGAAATAAATAACATTTACTGAAAGATTATTATCATAGAAAGAAGGTACTGAGGGAAGACTAATTTGTATCTTGAGATGTGTGATATGTAGTATGTTGTAGCTATGTAGTACTATATATTATGTAACCAAACTATGTAAAAAATACTGTTTTGTAACCTTCTGAACTGGGTACAAGATAATGGGTTATGTAGCATATGCATATCTGGTGGTAATAACATGAAAACTACTGTAAATAGCTATTTTGTACTATATATGACCTTGATTGGTCTCACCACAGCGTTTCAGGAGGAGGCACAACAAGAAGTCATCACTGATCATCCCGCTCAACTAGGCTCAACCGTGCTTCTCGATTGCTTCAGAAACGGACTGGAAGTCTTGAAAGACGAAACCTTGTTCTAGTCTGTGCATCACCTTGGTGAGATCTCATCTGCCTGATATTACATACACCCGCATCTGGTCTTTGCTCTTGATTCCAAGGCAAAGAGTTAAGAAACTATTCTTGCTCAAATGGTTTTTCATTCACAAACTCTGAGGAATTCCAATCACACGATGCCGTTGGTCTTGAAGCTTGATTCAGGTTGCCAGCTGTAGGTCGCCTTTCCGGTCGGCTCTCGTGAAGGATGGTCAACCAGCTGTTCTTACAATTTACAAAGGGTTTTTTGTAAGGTTCACCAAAAAGCAATCATACTGATTCAAAACTTAGAAGCTCAGCTACAGGAGCAGTAAGCGGCTTCCGGGAAGCAGCAGAGCTACACTGCTTACCGCCATTGGCCACTCAAGAAACTGGCGCTGAAACCTGGGACCGAAAGAGAGGTCTTCCACAAGCTCACTTCTGCCCCTTAAACTGTACAACCGGTGACATTTCTATGAACTATTCAACCATGTAGTGACAGGTTTGAAGCACACAGCAGAGAAAGAACCAGATACAAATCCAACAAAAATGTTATTGTTGTTGTTTTGGTTATCAAAACGAATACAGGTTTTTTTTGACAGCCCAGTGTTATTTTTATTGTGGAACAGGCTTTCAACAATACACAATATAAAAAATAATTTTGCATTGAGAATACTTAAATATTCTTTACCAATACATGCATTTTTATCAGCCCACCATTGATGATGAGATGTGTTTTGGATAGAGATCGTTTGTTCGGACCTGTTGAGGGGTACCTGCCACACTTTAGATCAAGCCCTCCACATCAACAGCCACCATAAATACCAGTGGGGGGCCCAGTACTAAACCTTCATCATTACTGAACCCTCTGGAAGCATCAGTGGTGTCTGAGGGTGTGGAGGGAGTGTTTTGAAGTGTGGCAGGTACCCCCCAACAGGTCTGAACAAACAATCTCTAGTTTTGGAGGAGAGGCTGGCCTCTTAGGGGTAACAGGTGTTAATATACAGCATGCAGACAATGAAAGCAAATGTTTAGGATATTACCCAAGCAACGGTGAGCCTCTACACTAACCGTAGCGGTTAGTGTATGAAACTTTGTGGATTGGGTTTGAGAGGAACTGCAGTTTATGATTGAGTCATGAATACTGATTCAATGGCTATTGAAGTTACTTGATCTGATTCTGGGCCAGTTTGTCAATTTCTTTGATTTCTTTTGAGGAAGTCATTGCCCTGGAAGGTTTTGGAGCTTCTACCCCCAAAACTTCAGGGGTTTTACATATCTTGATGTATCTTTTGTATTGTAAAAACCCTAGGGATATGACCCACATTCCCTATGAGGGATTGAGAGGAATGGATTCCAAAATTGAGGAGGAACAAAAATTTGGGAGAGGGGGAGGGGGCTGTCCTGTGATGGTCCTCTCAATGTCCCCTAAATTTGGGAGTTGGAGCTTCAAATTTTGAGAGTTGATTAAAAAAGCCCCTTTGAAAATGGAGGAGAAATAATTTAATCTGCTTCATCCATGGATGTCTTGCCTCAATAGTGATGGTGCTTACACAAGGTTGTGACTATCAAGCAAGCAACAATTCCATTACTCAGTCACAGTTTAACTCAGAGGTGCTAACATTCTCTTTCTGAGTTGTATTGAGGATTGATTCATCCATTGGCTAGCTCATAATGCTAAATGCATTTCTAATATTTATACATGAATGATTGATCTTATCCATAACCCTATTTTTCATCTACTCCAATTTTTACATGTTTCTTGTTCAAATGCTATAAGCAGTGGTGCACTTTTCCAAAAAAGTGTTGAAAAAGTGGATTTCTTCTCAAGTGCAAATGGTGTAGTGTCAGTGACCCTGTTATTAGCTTTAGGCTATTTTACACTGCATCATGTTACACCTCAGGGTGCTCCATGTAAGGCTGGTGGGCTCAAAATGGGGGAAAAGTTTTGATAGCACTTGAGGCATGGCCTCACAGTGGTGCCAATTAGTCTACAAAATACCCAAACCAACCAGAAATATGTTTGTTGTGTTGGTTTCAAGAGAATTATATGATTTATGATGATGAGCACATGTTATGTTGACTGAGTTCTCCTCCTGTTTATATGAACATCTTGAAAATCTGGGACTTGGGTTTGAGAGGAAATGTAGATTATAATGTGGGTTATAAGTGATCCAGATACCAACCATTAGTCTAGTTGGATAATCAACCACTTTACACACATCAATCCTAGCATAGTTAGCTTCCAGTGAATCCATTAAATACTTGAACAGTTGCAAGTTCAATTCTCCAATAGCACACAAAATGTATCCCAATGGATTTGCAGCAAGATCAAGCTTATTTGCAATGGGTATGCTGCTGCTGATGATGAGACAGGTCTCAGCGCCATCATCATTTCCAGACTTGCTAATGGGCCCAGCAGTAGGCAGTGGCTCTAAATATGCAATAGAATCAGTTATCCACAAGATGAATTGCCAGTCAACACACTCATCAACAGAATACAAGGTGATAAGCAGTCAGAACCCCTGCAAGACATGTTCTAACAAGGAAGTGGACCGACATGTCATTGTTATCTGCAACCACTGCCTCAACTGGGCCCCAATTAAAACCCCCCTGTGTGATAGCTGTACAGAGACCATCAAAAAGCTTGCTGAACATGCCATTGGCTATATGTAGTCAGAACAGCATGTGATTTCTTCTACTTGTACAAGCAATCAAACCAGATTGTCACTGAGATCTTCAAGTCACTCAATCTATTCCAATTAGATTTAAAATCATCAGGTTTTGCAACAAAAACAAAGAGGGAAAAAAATAAAAAAAAAATAAACAAATAAGATAAAAAAAATAAACCAGAAAAAACAGTCAAGCAAAATCATGAAGAAAAACTGAATACAAAAGTCTGAAATTAAAAAAAGGAAAAAAATAAGGGGAGGGGTGTGGAGCAAGGAACTTGAAAGCAGGTTAAACTTCAATCACTGTGGAGTATCAGCTTTGCTGAGAGGGAGCTCCTTTCTTTTGGCAAGGAGTTACGGTGGTTATCCAAGCCAATTAAAGTTTGGGCCTTAATAAAAAAACACAGTTTTTGCGCGTTTACACGCGGTTTCTGCTGCGCGCAGCACACGCGGATTCCGCGTTTACACACGGTTTTTTAATTAATTTTTTAGGGTCTTATTAAAAAAACACCGTTTTTCCGCGTTTACACGCGGTTTTGCTGCGGCACAGCACACACGGTTTCCGCATTTAAACACGGTTTTGTATTTAATTTTTTAGGGCCTTAATAAAAAAACCCGCATTTTCCGCGTTTTGACGCGGTTTCTGCTGCGAGCAGCACATGCGCATTCCGCGTTTAAACCCGCTTTTTTAATTATTTTTTTTTTGCTGTTAATTTTAATTTTTTTTTAATTTTTTAAAATTGTTTCCTACACTAAAAAACGTGTAAAATTTAATGGTAAAGTCCAT